TTATCAAATTTATGACATTGATACAAAATAATATTGTACAAAGATTTTCAAATAATATAAAATTATAATGTTTTTTATCAAATTTATACAAAATAATATTTCAAATAATAATAAAGTTATAATGATTTTTTTTTTTATCGAATTTATATCATTAATTCAATGTTTTTATATTTTGTAAAATAGATTTTCAAAAATAAAAAATAAATTTATAATTTCTTAGCAATATCATTTACAAAATTGCATATTCAATGTTGCCATAATATTTCGCTGCATAATGATCTCTATAGTTCATTAACATTGCTATCTGACATAATAAATTTTAAGTTTACAATTTCAATAATTTGTTTTTCATGATACAGCGGAATACCATAACAACAAGTAATTATGTTTTCATACATATCATATTCATTTGACACTATTTGTAATGTTGAAATTGCATTCAAGCGGCCAGGTTTCGCAACTCGTGGGTCTCGGTGTTTTGGCTTTCGGAACGTATGTAGGACTTATACGCGAGTATTATTATTAAAATACTTAAACAGGCAATAATTCCACCAATCAGATACGCATTCACTGATTGTGTAGGTTTTTGCGTAATTATCTGACCCATTTCTACTTGCATTTTATTTATGCTTTTTGAATATTGTTTTAAAAGATTGTCATCAATTATACTTTTGGAAAATGTGTGGTGTTTCGGAATTGTGTCGAGCATGACGCTTTCACTTTCCAGGTCAATTCCGTTTATTTGAATAGAACTCATGAAAGCTGTTGAAACATTGTTTTGTATTCTTGATCTACTTTTTATTATAAAATTATTTCCAACAATTTTACAACCATCAGCAATGTTTATTAATCCCGTTCCAGAAATCTGCACGATATCTCTCGCATTTCTGCAAGAGATTCTTAGTTCTTCCTGGTCGGAACAAACAAACCCCCAAGTGCCTTCGGTGTACAAATCAAAAAACAATGTGTGATTAATTTTTAATAATTTGGTTTCACATGAGTCTGGAATTTTCTCCTTTGATGTAAACAACATGCTCTCACAATCCTGTCCTTGTCTTAAATAAGAAATTGGTTTAGTTATTTCCCATATAAATCTATTATTATGTATTGTTATAAATTTACCCAGTAAGCACGCGACATCAGTGCAATAGTGGCACTGATGTCGCGCCGGCGACATGAGACATCGCCGCCTCGATGTGACGAATGTGTTATTGAGGTGGATCCTACACTTGAATCGACATCGCATCGCGATATCTCACTCGCGACCACCGTACGACATTTTAGCAATATCCAATTTTAGTATAAATGCAAGCATAATTTTTTTTACAGAATTAATAGACAATTTATTAGAAAAGCATTTATTTATTTATAATAATTACATATTATTGAAAGATTACAAATTGGTATGACAAACGTTTACAGATAATTCTATTTTAAAACAATCATAAATAACATAAATCCTAATTTACAATTATAAATAAAATATTAATTTATATTTATATAATGATCCACATTACTCAATCTTAATATATATATAATATATATATATATATATATATATATATATATATAAATAACAATGATGTGTAATCTTATGTACAACAAATTTTTGTACATATTTGAGGAATTACTTATACAGTAGAAACTCGATTTACAGGACTAATTGTTGTCAATAGGCATTTGGCTAAACAAAAATCCGGATAATCGAATGTATTAAGAATTATGTTGTGTATTTATTAAAAATAGCAAGTACATACATAGACAACAACAAAAATAGTGTTTATTAAGAAACACTTTCTTACGAATGTACATATATATTTTCTTAGATTACATTACATACATATACTAAACGGCAGCATTAATCATGCAAAAATTCAACTTGTAGGTATGTACAAGTTGAATATTTGCATGTATATATAAATTGCTTGTGGTTTGTAGTTTGCATAACCGAAATCCAGATAAACGAGTTTCTACTGTACATGGAACAGATATACAGTAAACCCTCGCTTTACGCGGCAAGTGCGTACCGTGCAGTATAGGAACCGTGCTATAAGAAACTCGTATTTAACATACAATTCAGGCTAATTCGTAGTGCGTTCTATGGAACCTTACATAGTGCAGTATGGGATCCGTGCTATGAGAGACTCAGAGTTGGTACAAATCGCACCATTTTTATCGCGTTGTATGGAGACCAAGAAATACAACTTGAAGTAGGAGAAATACGGACGAAATGACATGAAGGACATTGACACCTTATTCAAAAATTGGCGCGACGCAGTAGTCAGCTCAAACGTGTTCTTAGACGGCTATTATACAATCAGGCATGTCTAAAAGATAAAAGTCGATAACAAAATTTACATCCCCTTTTGCACAACGAACAATACCCTTTTGCACAACGAACTTATGGGCTGTTGACCAAATAACGTGTAATAAGAAGTCCGTGTAGTCGGAGGGATGTCGGATTTTTAGCTCCGTGTAGTATGGGAACCGTGTACCCAGAGTGCCGTGTAAAGCGAGGGCCTACTGTACAGTAAACCCTCGCTTTACGCGGCAAGTGCGTACCGTGCAGTATAGGAACCGTGCTATAAGAAACTCGTATTTAACATACAATTCAGGCTAATTCGTAGTGCGTTCTATGGAACCTTACATAGTGCAGTATGGGAACCGTGTTATGAGAGACTCAGAGTTGGTACAAATCGCACCATTTTTATCGCGTTGTATGGAGACCAAGAAATACAACTTGAAGTAGGAGAAATACGGACGAAATGACGTAAATGACGTGACGAAATTGACACCTTATTCAAAAATTGGCGCGACGCAGTAATCAGCTCAAACGTGTTCTTAGGCGGCTATTATACAATCAGGCATGTCTAAAAGATAAAAGTCGATAACAAAATTTACAACAATACCCTTTTGCACAACGGACTTATGGGCTGTTGACCAAATACCGCGTAATAAGAAGTCCGTGTAGTCGGAGGGATGTCGGATTTTTAGCTCCGTGTAGTATGGGAACCGTGTACCCAGAGTGCCGTGTAAGGCGAGGGCCTACTGTAATTTCTGAACCTATATCATTCTCTAGTCTTGACCTATTTAGAATTGTGCTCCTCAAATATTGTCTTAACTAAAATAACTTCTTAGATCTGTCATCTGCTCCTAGGGCGAAAAAGTATATGACTTGTCTCATCTCACTACCGTTTCATCGCACTTCATTATACGTGAAGATTTTCTAAAAGAATGAACATAATATGTATCTATTAGGAAATGTTATATATATATATATATATATATATATATATATATAGTACAAAAGACTTACAAATTCAAAAGACAAGTTCCCATCTTTACTGACTGTAATACATCTACAAATTTAACAAGCGGGATTAACTCCGAATGCATTATTTTGAACCATCAATCTTCACGAAACGATCCCAAATATCATCATGTGTTTGATCTTGTAAAATTGACTGGATTTCTATCTTCAGTATCATTTTTCTATGACAATACAGCGGCGTGCTTTTTCTAACCTCTTCATTTGATGTATCGTTCATGTATCTTTCATAATACCATACGAATATCAAGTTAAGTAAACGTTAAATAAATTAATATAGTTTAATTAATACAGTAATATATATGATGTACTTACTTTTCCATTTTATTTCAATGCTAAGTTTACTAACAAAATAACGCACAAACACTCTTTGTTGACAACCGGCCATCTTTAATCCTAGATAATCCTACTGTTCCTGTACCACAGTAGTGTTACCACATAACACAATCACAAAATTCACAAGTTATTCATTTAATATTTGATATTTATTCCAAACAACATATAGAATTAGAACTAAGCATCTTTTGATAAATATTTTGTTTATGATTAGATTATTAAAAATATATATTTGCGGATAAAAAATTATTTTTGAGCATTTCCATTTAAACCTCGCGCCATCAGTAGAAGTATTTCGGGCAATACTTTTTTTTTTTTATTTATTTATACTTGAACATTTATTAAATTGAAATAATTTTAACAGAGATCAAAATAATTAGTACGTAATTTCAATTTTTATTTGATTTTATTTTTAAATAAAAATTTTGAAAAAATAAGACTTGAGATTTTTTAAAAAAATATGACTTTTTTGAAAAATTTGAATTTTTTGTCTCGAAATTTTTTTGAAAATTTTGAATTTTTTTCAAAGCCATAATGCTACGCGGCTATTTCAGAGAAAAAATACCGAAGCGCGTAAGCGCCGCGCCGCAGTATAACGGATAAACTTTAAAAATGTTAACAAAATGTATAATTATTATTAAAATTTCTAAAACATAAAATAATTTGATGTAACGGTTCTCTCTCAATATAAATATAGCTTTTGATAGCCTTCATAAAAAACGACCGATCGGTATGTCACAATTTCAATTTTAAACGAACATCTCAGTCAGCAACGAGCGTTCGAACGATAAAGACCTCAGTGTTGAATAGTGAGTAATCCGTAGCAGGTAGTTGAAATAGTGACATCATGGATAGCGGACCCTACGGAGAGGGTCCCGACGATGACCGTGAACAAATACAATTAGGTCCGTGCATAGGAAACGCATTGCGTATATGATATGGAGAAGATATGGAAACTGAATCAAACGCTAATTTAAATAAATTAAATAGTGATGTTACACCTAAAGGTACAATCAATTCAGTGCAAGAAAGTGACGTTGTATCAAACAACGAAATGAAAACAATAACAAATCTAGAAACGACTCGAAGGAAAAACAGTGCTAGTGAAAATCTCACAGGGGACAAACCTTCCCAAGAAACTATTAATAATAATGAGGTAATTAATAATAATGAAAATTTAAAAACCAACGATAAGATTAATGAGAATACATATGAAAAAAATAATCAATCGAGAAATTCTAAAGTATTTAAAACAGTGTCATACACAGAAAAAGACATAGGACCATTTTTAATTTATGTGGAATCGATGAACAAAAACATAGGCAAACTACACCACATGGCATTAGGAAGAAAGATATTTAACAAGCACCCAGAGATGGACAAATATATAAAGGAAATTAAAGCTATCGGAATTAACAAAATCAAAATTGAATGTTATGACTACAAATTCACAAACAAGTTGGTAGCGGACCATATATTCTCAGAGATCGGCGCAAGGGCATATATACCACTATCTACTGTAATAAAAAAGGGAGTAATATACGACGTAGACACCGAGCTATCAGAAGAACATACTTTGAAACATATAAAATCTGAAGTGGAAATATTAGAAGTCAAACGAATTCTTAAAAAACAAAACAACGATTATGTAAAAACGCCCGTATGCGTTCTAACTTTCAGAGGCCAAAGGTTACCTGAGAAAGTAACAATACATGCGGTGAAGTGTCGGGTGAGTCAATACAACAAAATAATCCAATGTTATAACTGTTTACGTTATGGTCACGTGACCACACAGTGCCGAAGTAGTGTCAGGTGCGGACATTGTTCGGGTAACCACAACTACAAGGAGTGCGATAACAGGGAGGAAGAGCCCAAATGTGCATTATGTGGCAATGGACATCAGGCAATTAGCAAAAATTGCGAAGTCTACAAAAAACAAATTAAATTAAAGGAAATAATGGAATTTAATAATGCAAGTTATAATGAAGCAAAAAGGATTTTGGAGAACCGCCCCTACGCAAATATAATTACAACTAGACTAGACTTACAAAACAAAAAAGTTTTTCCCGATATTCAAGATCACCAACAACGCACAAAAGATAAAGAACCAGAAAATATGGAAGTGAATCAGCCCAAGAAACGGAGACTACACAACACTAGCGTTGAGACACCAGCCATAGACAACAGCATTAAAAACTCTAATAATAACAATAAAACAGAAAACGATGCACGAAAAGCGTCACCTAATATAAATAAAATACCATTTAAAAAAAATGAAAACGTAAATACGAAAATGACAAAAGAGGACAACAGAGATAAAACGAAAGAGAAGGATGTTAGAACGACGAGTATACAGAAAAGAGGAATACAACCAAATCCAAGCACATCAGAGCAAATATCTCTGAACCACATAATCAAAAGACTAAAGGATGTTTTTAACCCTACCAACCAAAAAAATAATCAAGTACTAATGGCCATAATTAATCGGATGGAAAGAGATCAGATAAACCTAACAAATCCGAAATGACAAGAATGACACAGGAATTGAAAATATTGCAATACAATTGTAGATCAGTGTTTGCCAACAAAGGCTGCATTGAACATTTTCTATACGAGAAAAAGATTCAAATAGCGGCCTTCTCAGAAACATGGTTAAAAGGTGGTAACAACTGCACTTTCAGAGGTTACAAGATCTTCCGCAACGATAGAAATGATGGATATGGAGGTACGGCTATAATAGTCAAGGATAATATCACGGTACTCAATACAGAGAACATTAATATAGGCACAATAGATGTAAGCAAGTGCCAAATCAAAAGAATAACACTTATGTTCTGTAACACCAAATTGACCATTATATCCATTTATGTTGCACCAAACAGCAATATCTCAGTAAGTCAATGGAATCATATATTGTCACAGTTCCAAAACCCATTCATTTTGTGCGGTGATTTTAACGCCCACCATTATGCATGGGGAGGTAAATGGAACAGCAGAATGGGAAATAATTTACTAGAATCCGTAGAGTCCAATGACTTATTTATACTCAATGATGGAAACCCAACTTTGAGATCTAAGAACAATTTTACAGCAGTTGATATATCATTTTGCTCTCAGGACATAGCGCACAAAATAGATTGGTGTGTAATCGATGAGTCTCTGGGCTCAGATCATTACCCCATAATTCTAACTCTGAAACAAAAAGAAGTTCCACAACTCCAAAATAACGATCTTGGATGGAACCTCAATAAAGCAGACTGGGAAAAGTATCAAATACATCTAGAAGATGAACTAAATGGATTTTGTGTAAGTGACCCCGTAAAAGCGTACACAGATTTTATACGGATAATTAACTCAGCGGCAGAAAAAAGCATTCCAAAAAGGAAAAAATTGATAAATACTAGGTTCATTAAACCAGTGTGGTGGGATGACGAATGCAATCAGCTAATAAAGGAACGGAGAGAGGGTGAAAAAGCTTATAGACAGGAATCCAACTATAAAAACTATTTAACGTGTGAGAATATAAACAAGAAAATCAAAAACATTTTCAGGAAGAAGAAAAAAGACAGTTGGAAGGAATACGTCAATAAAATGAATCCAAATACTTCAGTCAAAGAAGTATTTGGAATGATTAGACGTCTCAAGAAACACACGAACGGGACCGACACATATAGTAATATCCCTGAAGAAATTAGTGAGGAAATCATCGACTATCTAGCTCCACCGGGTGCCAAAAATGACTTAGGCAATGGAAATAAAACTGTCCTGGAAAGAGAAACAAATAATCTGATGGAACCATTCTCATTGTGGGAACTGGAAATAGCTATCAAGAAGAGCAACAACACAGCTCCTGGAAAAGACGGCATATCATATTCAATGATTGCAAATTTGACACCTCAAGCTAAAAGTATACTGATAGATATAATTAATAAAGTGTGGCTGAATCCAGAAGCAATAGAAGATTGGGGGCAACAAGTGATAATACTTATCAGAAAAATGAATAAACATCCAAATTTAGTTTCATCGTATAGACCCATATCTTTGGCTTCCTGCATTGCAAAAGTCAAAGATAGAATGATCAAAAGAAGATTAGAATGGTGGGTAGAAAAGTATGACATACTCCCCAAACCCCAATGTGGATTTAGAAAGGGCATGGGAACATATGACAACCTAACGATCAGATCTATATCTATCAATGGCAAAAAACAACTATGTCGTTGCTCTATTTAGCGATATTAAAGGTGCGTACGATAATGTCCTACCAGAGGTGCTGGAAGATACTCTGGCTAACACTGGACTACCAGGAAAATTCATAAACTCAATTACGACCAACATCCGAGAAAGAAAGATATTTTTCCGAATAAATGGGAAACTGATAGGGCCGAGAAAAATTTACAAAGGCCTACCACAGGGAGAAATTCTTAGCCCCATCTTATACTCAATTTATGTAAGAGACATAGAAAAAATATGGGAAACAGGTACCAAAATATTACAATTTGCAGATGACGTCATAATATATATAGAAAAATCAAGCCTCCAGAAGCCTATGAGGGGATGAGCCGTAACATAGATCTCTTCCACGAATGGCTCGCAAAGAAAGGACTTGAATTGTCGGACGAAAAAAGCTCAATCGGAATCTTTACAAGACGCAGGAAGCTAGAAGAAAGAACAGCACTAACGACTAAATACCATACAATCAAAATACAAGAAAATAATAAATTTTTGGGCGTCACATTCGACAAAAAACTATCTTTCAAAACACATATAAATCAAGTAATCACAAAAATTGAGCCAAAAATCAACATTTTACGTATGGTAAATAGGACATGGTGGGGAGCTCACCCTACCACAGCCCTGAATTTGTATAAAACAATAATTAGACCAGCATGGGAGTATGGAAGTCTAGCTTTCAGTAACTCTCCTCACTGCAGAAAGCTAGAAAAAATTCAATATAAATGTTTGAGACTGTGCATAGGGGCAATGATCTCCACACCTACAAACGCATTGTTGGTGGAAAGTGGAGAAATGCCTTTACATTCAAGATTCCAATATTTAAGTGATAAATTTGTACTTAAAAAATACCAAGTACAAAATAATAGAACAATCGAAAATATCAAGAATGTAGCCATAGATACATTAACAAGTGACTATTGGAGAAATCGTTCAAAACCAAGCTTGGTATATAGCTATATAAAAGTAATTGAAGCAAGAGGAGACACAAATAAATACAATAAACACCCGTATTATAACTTTTTCACATTAGACAACAGTTATACGATAGAAAAAATATTCAATACGAATACAATCAACATAGAGGATTATAAAGTTATATTTACAGACGGGTCAAAAATTAATAACAAAACTGGCTGCGCTTTATTTTATGAAAACGATAATATCAAAATAGGATATAAACTACCAGACTTTGTTTCAATTTGGTCAGCCGAGCTAATAGCTATAAAAAAAGCAATTGAATATATAGAAAGCCACAAAATCACTAAAGTAGTCATCGTTACCGATAGCAAAAGCTGCATAGATAAACTGAAAAATCTATTCCTTACTAATCGACTAAGCGAGACATTGGTATATGAAGTATGGAATAGACTTATACAGCTATTGGAGAACGGGTATACAGTCAAATTATTATGGACAAGATCGCACTCCGGTTCTAGTGGAAACGATGAAGCGGACTCCATAGCAAAATGGGCAACAGAATACGGAACTATGATCAACCTAGCCACCAGGAAAGACTATATAAATAATTCAAAGAAAAAAATACTGGACAAATGGCAAGAACAATGGAACAGATCGTCGGAAACAAAGGGACGACACTACAAGGCAGTCAACCCCAAATTGAAGATGAAACCGTGGTTCCGAAAATATGCAGATGAAAACAGAGGTACCATCGTAACAATAACAAGACTAAGGCTTAACCATGGCAACTTCCCTGCACACCTGAAGAGGCTGGGAATAATAGAGTCAGAATCATGTCCTTGTGGAGCATCAAGCGGAACATCTGAACACATCATACTAGAATGTAGTATATTTGAGGCAAGCAGGGCTAAATTGTTAGAGGAACTACACTCTATAAAAACACTGATTAAACCCTTTAATTTGACATCATTGTTGCAAAATCTGAACTGTTATCCTAACATAATTAGGTTTATTAATAATAGTAAAATTAAGTTGTAAGTGACCAATATACTATATATGTTACCTGTATATTGTACATTATGTATGTGGCTAAATGTTTACCAGAGGCCAATAAAAATATATAAAAAAAAAAAAACGAACATCTACACCACATTGGTTTATTGTCACAGCGGGGATGTTGGCAGGGATTTATATAGAATATTGCTGCAACATCACGTGCTTACTGGGTATTAATGTCTTCATTATTTAGTAAAACGTAGTGTATCATATCTTTATCCACCATAATGAATGAATATTTATGGGATATAAACAAGTAATTATTCGAACCGACATGCTTTGGAATAGTTGTAATCTTGTAAATTTCAAAATCATTCTCTGATATTAATGGAATGTTTAATTTAAAATTTAATTTATTATTATAAATGTAAATATTAACTTTGGCAATATTATAAATAAGTAAAACATCACGTTCTATTAAATCGTATGGAAACTTCAAATTATTATCTAAATTCGGAATAATGTTGGATATTATCGTTCTTAATTTTTTTATTGGCATTATGTATGGGTGCAGTTTGCCATGAAGAGCCATTATTACCACTTCTGCCAGTTTGTTTTGGTATAAAATGAAAATTTCAATGTGATAATTATATAATAAAAACATTTTTTCAATTTGCACCAGAGTATTCGCAAGATGCAGGCCATTCTGTGATTTATTAATTATTAACTCAATACTATCAAAGTTAGATTCGATTTCGTCAGATAACTTGTTTATTTGATTAGTTAAATTTGTTAAAACCTTAAATTCAGACTGATAGATACCAATTTGTTGTTTATTTAAATTTAATATATGATTTTGATTATTTTTTAGAAGTCTAATATGTTCATCAAAGTATTCCGCGTCAGACTCAGTTAGAGTTCCAAACAGTTGTTTGGAAATGGATCCGATTATGTTTAAAAGTGCACGTTTTTCTCTAACTGAACCTGTATCTTGGATGAGATCTAAAATGATGTCATTTTGACTTATAACAGTCTTTAAAATATTTCTTGACAACTCTAAGAATGGCTTGCTTATTTGCTGGTACTCTGATGTATTACATCTAGTTTGAACTATATCAAAAGTAGTAATAATTCTCTTCAAATTTAACTTGTATTCTATAAGATCGTGTGAGATAATGATATCGAAATAGTCACTACATAGTTCCACTATGCCAATTTTCTCATAATAAATCCCCGGGCTTTCTATTCTGGTGATGTTAAAGTTTGGGGAACCCATTGCAACTGGAACCATCAGGGTAGACAAAATCAGTAATAAGCAGTTCACAATCATCCTGTTGGGAAGAATTAAAAGTCAGGTCCTGCTTTTTCCAATAGTTTCAG